TGATTTTTTTGAGTTTGGAATACATTTTCGGCCGGATTCCTGTGGGATTTTGCAAACCCTCTTGTCTTGTCAAGACGTTTTTTAATTTTTCTTTGGAGCAAAGGGTTGGGAAGTTAACAAACCTACTTTTGTGGTAATCTCTCTTTTTGTAGAAGCAAGAAGTATTGACTTTAAGTCTCAATTACGGTGGACATATGGGTTTTAGTTATGACTGAAATCATGATACTGATTAATTGAAATATCAGTTTTTTTATTTTAGAAACCAAAAACTGCATTCAAATATTTTAATTTTTGCGGTTTCGGTTGTTTTGGTTGTTTCGGTTTCAGTCTCGGTTGTTTTAGTTTTGGTTTTAGGTTTCAACCGTTATTTTGGAATGGCTTATCAATGGCAAAAAGGCAAGCTAGATATCGGAGATGAGGGAAGAATGATGGGAGAATATGGTACAAGAAAGCCACAAAAGGAGGAGACAGCAACTACAACGATGGAGAAGAGGGAGTAAAAAATCACTAAGTGATTCTTTGTTTCTAGATATGAAAAAAAAATAATGAAATTAGGAGAAGAAACTAATAGGAATGAACTATTAGAGAAGTATAACAGATTTTCTTTATTGAGGAGAGAAAGGAGAATTAGAGAAAATGGGTTTAGCTGAAGTGGAAGGAGAACTGGAGAAAATTATTGCAGTACCATCAGTGGTGAGGGTGGTGAGCAATGACTGGTGAGTGGTGACGTTAAATGAGAAAAAAAAAAAAGAAGTGAACAAATAAATGTTAAACAGGTTAAAAATGTCATTAATATATTATTTTATAATTAATTTATATTAAAAATAAAAATATTAACTTAATTAATTAATTAAAATAATTTATGTATAAATAATATTAAAATAAATATAATTTTTATTAATTTATATGTAAATTAATTAAATTATAACCCATTGCACAGATTAGACAATAAATAATTAGGTTAGATTTAATCATTTAGATGGTTCCAACAAAAGAGAAAAAATCGATAACAATAAAAAAATAAAGGGTCCTTTTAATTTGTATTTTTGAAGCAAAGTTAAGAATATTTTTTTAATATTAATTATTATTAAAAAAAGTAAAATTTAATATTTATTTAATTAATTATTTAATTAAAATAACATATAACATTAATAATAAAATTAATATATATTCTCATTATTTTTTATATTAATTAATATTAAAAATATATATAAATTAGGCAAAAAGGGCAAATCAGCCCTTATACTCATTGAATGGTAGCAAATCAACCCCTCAATTGAAAACAGACACAAATCAACCCCTCAACTCACAATATGATAGCAAATCAGCTTTTGACGTTAGCAAAGTGTTAAATCCTCAAGGAGATATGGTTCAGGTGGGTTGAACACTTACGTGGGAATGAGTTGGCAATTTTTTCTACTAGCAGTAATATAAGAATAATCTTTTTACATAATTTTTGTTATAATTTTTATATATTATTAAATAAAATAATAATATAAGATTAATCTTTTTACATAATTTTTGTTATAATTTTTATATATTATTAAATAAAATAATAATATAAGATTAATCTTTTTAAATAATTTTTTATATAATTTTTATATATCATTAAATGAATGCATACTTTTAATATCATAAATTTTAAACAAATAAATAATATCAATAATATTAATTATTTAAATAATATATAAAATTATATCAAAAATAATATAAAAAAATTATCTTTATATCATTCTTTTTTTTCTATGTCAAACTTAACCTTTTCCAAACAAGTGCCCCACAAGCAAGCAGTCCTTGTTAGTAAGAAGCCATTATAGCAATTTGTGGTCCATTCGAATTTCTACTTTAGTAATCCGTCCGAATTTCAAGTATCGCATCTTAAAATAAGGAATATTAAGTATTTAAATATAAACAAGAATTTAGTTGAGTTAAGTCTCATTTGATAATAATTCTTTGTTATTTTAATTTTATACATTATATTTATACAAAATCTTAACTTTTTATCTTTTTATTTTTAATTATTAAGATTTATCTACATTTATTAAAAATCATTATTATTTTTACCTAAAAATTATGATAAACCTCAATTATTAAAAGTAAAGAGATAAATTATTAAAATTTTATATAAGTACAATATGTAAAATTTGTGTGTGAATAAATCATTTCTCATTTTAAAAAATGTACAATATTAGTTAAAATAAATATTAAATATATTTTATATATTTTTAAAATTTTAAAGGATAAAAAACCTTATAACCACCTAATTGAGAAATGAGAAATGAAAAATGTTTAGTTTGATGTAGGATAAAAATTTGCCACATAAGCATTGGACCCCACCACAACTATCTCTCCGTCAGGAATTAACACTTTGCTAGCGTCAAGGGTTGATTTGCTACCATATTATGAGTTGAGGGACTGATTTGCCTCTATTTTCAGTTGAGGGGCTGATTTGCGACCATTCCATGAGTACAGGGGCTGATTTGCCTTTTTTACCTATTAATTACACTATTAAATTTTACCTTAAGTACACATTAAATAAATTTAAAAATAAAATATATTAAAGTAAAATGATGAATCAATTAATGACGGAATTCAAAATTTAAAGTGGGAAATTAAAATGTCAAATATTGTAGGCAGAAATCTTGCATGAAAAACGTGAAAGACTAAAAAATTAAATAAAAATATAAGAAAAAAGCCTATGAATCCTAACTTTTTTTTTAAAAAAAGTGTCAATTTTAAATTGTCATTTTATTTAATTAAAATATAATTCAAATTTTAAAAAATTATCTTATTAAATTTTAATATATTAGAATACATAAAAAATTTTTAAATTTATATATTAATATTTAATAGAATAAATTGTAATTTTTAAATATAAATTAAGATTTTAATTATTTTTAAGTATCGAAACTAATTGACACTAACATTTACAAATATTCCAAATAGAAACACATAAAATAAAAAAGGGTTGGGCTTTTCAGTTTTTTGGACCCATTTATGCGGTTGTCGGTTCTTGGGCTTACAAATAGACAACCGCCTGCTTGGGCTCTCGATTGCAACCCAACCAAGGCCCAGCGATGATATATGTGTAAACTGTAAAGTGCAATAAAGAATGTTTCTTATGCAAGTAAAATTTTAAAAAAAATTGAGACCATTTTTATTTTTATTTATTTTATTTTTAAAAAATAATAAATAAATTTTTATAATAAAATAGATAATTAAAATTAAAAAATAATTATTATTATGTGATAAACTTTAAATAAAAAATTATTTATTATTTTAAAATAAAAAAGTATTATTATAAATATTTATAATTTAAAAAATCTAAAGAAAATAACACTAACAAACCCCGAGGTATAGTTACAATAACAGCTCCTGTGTGCAGTATTTTGCGGTCAATCTAGTATGGTGGTGGTGCCAAAAGAAAAAAAAAATGTATAGTGGTGGTTGTTGGTAAAAAAAAAGTAAAAATCTATCATATCAATTTTTAGATTCTCAAAGGTTGAAGCTGAAATTTATTGTTGGATATCCAATTATATGGTTTCCAGTGAATTGGATACTCATCTTGCATACCTGTAATTGGCATGAAGTAATTGACTAATTAGTATCTATTTTATTTTTGCATGTGATTATTTTGGACAACACAAGCTCCCTCTCCTAAAGTGAGACAAGCTCTGAATCTCTGACGAGACAAACAAAAGAAGACGATGGTGTTCTCTATTTCTGAAAATGTCATGAAGCTCTGGGATGCATGGAATGTCAGAGCGTTTGTCATCCTAAGCTTCCTGGCGCAAGTTTTCTTGACTCTCCTTGCACCATTAAGAAAGCGCCTAGGGGGAATATGGGGAAAATGTGTTTACATGTTGATCTGGTTGGTATACTTGCTCGCAGACTGGATTGCGGGACTTACCGTTGGATTCATCTTAAGCAACCAGTTGAAAAGTCCTGCCAATAGTGGTGACATTCAGACCTTTTGGGCACCCTTTCTGCTGTTACACCTTGGTGGACCCGATACCATCACGTCCTATGCCTTGGAAGACAATGAGTTCTGGATAAGGCATTTTCTTGGGCTCATATTACAAGTTGGTTCTACACTCTATGTCTTCCTTATGTCCCTCCCAGACAACAAGCTTTGGCTCCCAACCCTCTTAGTGTTAATTGCTGGCATAATCAAATATGCAGAGCGGAACCGCTCTTTTTATCTAGCAAGCTTTGACCATTTTGGTGAAAATTGGGTGTCTGGAGAAAAGGTAGCTGGACTCCATATTCCAGAACAATTCAAAAAGTTGGAAGCTGCGGATCTCGTACCTAGTAGATTGGAAGATGATGCCGAGCCTTCCGAATTTTTTGTTGATTCCGAGCCCGATTCAATATTACAAGCTGCAGCTTACTTGTTTGGAACTATCAGGGGACCTCTTCTTGGCTCTTTTTTATCTGAATCTCAACGTTTTACAGGCTCTGCAATCTTTGGAAGCAAAGAGAAGAATTGTTATGCAAAAGATGCTCTCCTAAAGATGGAAATTCAGCTAAGCCTATTGTATGAGGCTCTCCACACCAAGTTGCCTGTGATGGTTTCCAAGGCTGGGTGCGTCAGTCGCATCTTGAACTTGAGTTGCGTCTTGGGAGCCTTGTTTTCATTCTCATTAGTTAAGAAGCACTACGAGTTGGAGGAGTTTGATGCCTGGCTAACCTATGGGTTGTTGATCGGGGCCTTGACTTTGGATTTCATATCTATCATTTTACTTGTGTTCTCCGACTGGTTTGTTATTGCTAACTTCCATAATTTGGGACGCCTCCGTAACTTGGGATCCATATTGAAGGCGCGCAGGTGGTCTAACAAAGTTCCCCAGTTAAATTTCATTACTTATAGTGTTAAGGACCATCCAAATTGGTTGAAATCATTGGCTACTTTTCTTCCTTTGAGGAATTTGTTAGAAGCCATGAAAGTAATTCGATGTTTATCCTTCCAAAATTTTGGAGAAGACTCACAGTACTGGCAGGGTATTTTCAAGGATTTGGAGGTTATTCAGCAGGACGTTATTAAGAATAAGTACCCAGAAGCTGATGTAGGTAATTTTGCACAAAGTCTTTTAGACTTACATATAGTCACCGAATTATCCATCCAAAGAGGTATCCAAGGGTCTTCACTTGGGCGTGGAGAAGAAGACAGAACAATCTGCAAGCTAATTTCGGATTATATGTTTTACCTCATGATGAGGGAACCTGTTATGATGTCGGCCGTGTCCAGCAATTGGGAAAAAGTATTGAAAGACACATATGAGGAGACCCAGTCAATTTTAGACCGGAGTTCAGTTTCAAACGAGAATGATGCCAGCAGCAAAATTCTTTCAGCTAAATTTGAAAAGGGAGAGAATCTAAAAATGTTATCTACTGTAGAAGAAAGTTTTCTCACGGCAATCAATAACAAGGCAACTATTCCCTGGAAGGGTTTGAGAAAAGAATGGGTTCAGAAAATGTGTTATGCTGCGCGTAGATGTAGGCCAAGTGTGCATGCACAACAACCAAGTAAGGGAGGACAACTACTCACCTTCATCTGGCTGTGTATGACTAATTTCACAATGGCATACCAGAGGTCACCATATAACTACTGATTCTGAGTTGCCAGAGCGATCACTTTTGGTTCTTGTGTTTTTTGTGTTTTCTTGATTTGTGTGTGTTTTCCCAGTCCTTTTATATATATACAAGTGGTCCTCACAAGGCGTTGCAGGGGTATTGGGGACTCAATTGAGCAATTTATTAGTATAAATAAGATATTTACATGTATTTGAATTCTTAGAAGAACTTATTGAACTAAGCAATGTATTGCCCAATGTGTTGTAATTGTGAAGGAAATATTTTCCTTATTATTATTATTTTTTTTTTTTTTTAACACAACATTTTCTTTATTTTGTACTGCTAATCTTTTGCTTCTTTTCTCACTTCCAAAACAAACCTAATGAAGAATGGAAACTTACGGCCAATCAGAAATTTAGAAAGAAGAAGAAACCCATCGAAGCAATTCCATGTGAAAAGACAGGTAAAGCATCAGATTTGCATCCTAGAAAGCTTTACTTCGTTTCATACATTCTGGAACGTTTTTTACAATAGCCATTTCTGCCCCATCCTTCTCACCACCACTGCTGCTACTTTAGCCATCTTTTTTGTATACAAAGATCCTAACACACATTTCCTACGGGCTTATTCAGATCTAACAACCCAGCACTTTGCAGTGGGCACTTCATTTGTTGTCGCTCCATGCTTTAATTACATTTGATTTTTTTCCATCATTAACATTTTCTTTCTCAAACTACAATCTCGATTTTAGACAGGGGCGGAGGTAGAAATTTTTTTCAGGGGGGCAAAATACTAAAATTTTTAAAGTTCAAGGGAAGTTAAATAATTTTTCATATACTAATTTACAAGATTTTCAAATTTCAGGGGGCAAATGCCCCCTCGCACCCCCTGGCTCCGCCACTGATATTAGATGAGAGCAGATCTGTTTTTTCAGCTTCATTTCTTTCTCCAAAAATAGTTGACCATTTGATTTTAAGACTAAAGTACAACTAGTAACATTAAGAAGAAATACTGACTATATATTTACAATTGAAAGAAAAATTAACATTAATTAACATAAAATCTATTGAGTGTATTCCTTACACAGTTCTCTTTCTCATGCTCTAATATTGATATATGTTGTAAAAACCATGTTTAATTTGAATTGTTAGAGATTCTCTATCATGCAGGGTCAATGCCAACTATCATCCCTCTACTATAAAAAAAAAAAAAAACTCAATTTAAACTTTCTACTTCCAATTTGCCTCACGTCCTTCCTTTACTATTAATTAACTACACATGTCCTCCCCTACTATTGAAAAAGGTATCAATGCCCTCCCCTGTACAAGTTCTATCCAATTTTGAGGTAATAAACAGTTTATTTAACCGTTGACATTAACCCATCAGAAATCCAATTCCTCTTTTTTTTTTTTTTACAGCTGAATTTTGATGGGACCCATAACAATTAAATATTAATAGACTATTTGGATTAATTTCTTTAATACTAATTAATAGTTAATAATTAATATCTAACAATTGATAATTTATTAGTAATTATAATTAAAATATTTAACCTGAGCATGAGAAACAGCGTGGTTAAATATTCTAACTCAAATTAAACATGGTTTCATAGTTAATAGTTAATAGTTGATAATTGTTATTGTTTATGGTCTAAAATATTTAAATCATTTGATTAAAAATAATAATTGATAGTTGTTTTCTAATCTCTAAAACAAACACCCTTATAAACATAATCTTAAAACTTTAATAGTTAAATTAGAGTATGTTTGGTTCAGCTTTCAAATGTTTTAGCTTTTTAACACTATTCATGTTTCATAAGTTTAAATTTCCCTCTTAAAAACTTACATTTTTAAACTTTTTTTTAACATTAAAAAGATCTCAAATAGTAAAAGTTTAAAAGTTTCAAATCTAAATTTTTTATAAACTCATATTTTACTTACTTTTTACTCACTTTTTCTTATCTCTAAAAGTAACTTTTAAATTTTTCCTTCAATAAAAATTTAAACTTATCACTCATGAATAGTACAAAAAAAGTAAAAGCTCTTACAAACTAACTCAAACATGCTCTTAATGAGGTTTCTGATTAAAAATATAAAAGTTCAAACTCTATAATTTTGAGAGTCTAAAATTTTAAGACGGTGAATTCAACTCAAATAGGTGGTAATAACAAATTTTCTATAAATTTTTTCTTAGTTAGGTTAAGGGCATTTGTTTTGCATTTTTCAAAATAATTATTAGTTATTGATTTTATTCAAATAAATTAAATATTTTGAATTATAAACGAATAATTATTAATCATCAAATATTAATTATCAACTATTAATTGTTTTTAAAAAAATTAATCTAAATAACCTATTAATATTTAATTGTTGTGGGTCCCATCAAAATCCAACTATAAAAAAAGTGAGGTTTGGATGTCTAATGGGTTAATGTTAATGGTCAACTAAACTATCCATTATCTTAAAATTGGATGGAACTTGTACGAAGGGATGACATTGACACCTTTTTCAATAGTAGGAGGAGGACATGTTGTAGATAATTAATAATAGAGGGAGGACATGAGGCAAATTGAAAGTAGAAGGTTCAAATTAAACTTTTTTTTATTGTAGAGGGATGATAATTGACATTAACCCCTATCATGCATATCTAACAAGATGCTTAGAACTTTATAAGTATATTGGCAGTTAATTTCAGTTCATTCTTAGATGCACATGGTTCATGCATACTTGTAAGTATCTTGGGAAAAGAAATCCAAAAACAGTAAACTCATTTACTCAAAGAACAGATAATTGAAATTTACAGTTATGAATTAGCTACCAATAGCTTATTGAGAGGAGACTCCATATCTTGCATATCTCTCTACCTTTCACCGTATCATCACTTCATCAGCAACATCTCCCAACATTGGTACCTCCAAATACCATCCAACAATTTCATATACAAAACCAATAGATATTCTTCTCTTACCTTCTTAGCTGTGGTATAAAATTTTAGTAGATTTCAACCAATAATTGTGAAATTAAAATAAAAAACTACAGGAAATCAAGAGACTAATCATTTATAAAAGTTGACATTTATTTTAACATCAATACACATGAATGATTTTAATTAGGTAATTGATTAATTTAAAATTAGCATTTACTTTTTTCATGCAAAATAATTTTAAAAAATCCATTAATTATATCCCTTAGGACACATGTTAGGAAAATCCTTGTTTAAAAGCTCCTTTCTTTTTTGCAATTCCTTGGCTTTAAATTTTGCTACTTCAGGTTAGGTTTTTTAACTCCAACACTTGAATTCTTCTAAACTTCAAGTTAGATTTCCATTTTTCAATACGTTTGTTATAGTTCCGTATCAGTATGCAATTCACAGACACAATAACAAATACCCCTTACCCTACCCTACCCTACCCTATCTGTTGACCAAACCATTCACTATATATCATTCAGTTTTCTTCTTTTTGCTTATTGGTGTGCCAGTGGTGCAAAACAAAAAAGCATATGCAATTAAGTACAAATCTATCATCCACTCAGTTTCCTAACGTTAGACACCAAAAATTGTATGAGCAAGTGGGCATTCTTCAATCAAACATTTCTTAACTCTTATCAAACATCCATCAAAATCATATTTTAACGCTTTGGACCAAGAAGTGGTGAGAAAGGAGCATCGATCAGGATACGAGGCAGAGACCTCTAGAATTCCCACTAACCAAAAACAGCATCATTAGAAAAGATAGACAAAAAACCAATAATCAGGGGAAAGCAACCAAAATTTGAATGCCAAAACACTCATACGATATTACAATTCAAAAGAAAATTCATTAGGAAAAAAAAAAAAAAGAAAAGAAAAAAAGAAACTAAGGTTGTGCTTGCAAAGCTTGCAAGTTCATTCAGTGGTGCAAATTAAAAGTCTCCATGTATGCTAAAGAAGCTGTAAAATAAGAGAATGAACATATTATGATAACGAATTAACCAATGCAATTGGAAATTGGATAGTAATTGGCAGTGTATCTAGATGTATCTATCCACAGGACGCTAACATACAAGTCACAACATTAAGATGTAAACAACAATAGAAACAACTTTACAATTATTTAAAAATAATATTAAAAAAAAATTCTAAACCACATATTCATTCATCGCTTGAATAATACTCCATAACCGGCCACACCCAATCCCCTTGGTCAACAGGTGTAGGTACGATTGTCAATGCATCTTGTAAATTCTTGCTCAAATGTTAATATTGATCTCTAGTTTGACTATAAACTTTTCAGATACTCAAATGTTTTACCTTTGTATAAGTCCATATAAGGATGCGTGAACTTATCCTACAGAAGACCAAAAGCATGTCTTGTTAAATAACATAAAGGGGACCAAATAAGTTAAAGGCTACTTATCATATCTTCATAGCTGCCCACATGTGTTCTTTGGCCTCATTCCCAATCTCGTCTCACGAATGAACCTGTATTGGACAAATAGTAGGGTCACGCCCAATTTTTCGAAGCTATCCTATAGAATACCTCCTGTACTCATTTCTTCAGCTTCCAATATTATGTCCTCGAAACAAAAATGTTGTTAGCTATATAATTAAGTTATAGGAAACTAAATAAATGGATGGCGAATGTTAAGCAAAGATCATTACCAAAAGAAAGATCATTAAGTTTAATCAAAAGAAAGATGAAGAAATCTAACATGTAAAACCAGGTTATGAAGATCATTACCAAAGGAACAGCATCTCAAAAATCATCAAGATTGCCGGAGCTGGGCTGAAGTTACCGGAGAGTGACAGCTGCTGGCGACCACATCGGAGACAATGAATCGCTGGTAATCAAATGGATCTCCGTAGCCATTATAGTTGAAGATCGGAATCAAAGATGCCAGTCACCGGTGGACTATTTGATGCACCGGAAGCTGAGTACTGAAATGTCACCGCGCAGCTCAATTCTAGTTGAATCGGAGATTGGAGTGATAATGCCTAAGGTTTTACGTGAATCGGAGGAGGCGGAGATGAATTTCAAGTGGTTACCACTTACCACGGTTGATTCATAGGGAAAGTTAAAGAGATATTGAAGAGGAAGTAGAATTGGAGAGTAGTAGATATTGACCGGAGCAACTCACTTTCCCCAGCATATATTCTTTTGCGAGGCTCAGTTGCGTTTTTTATTTTTTAATATATAAATTTTAAATAAAAATTTAATAATTTATATGAATAATAATTAAAATTTTTTTTATATAATGTTTTTATTGAATAGTTTGATTTGATAAAATAAATTTTTAATTATGTTAAATTTTTATTTAAGTTTATGCTCGAAAAGTCAAATATCTATTAAAATTGAACGGGCTAACATAGAGATAGTTGAGTGTTGGGGGAATTGGATTTTTTTAATGAATTGCTTTAGATCCTTCAATTGGATTTAATAAGTAATGAGAATTGATCATTTCCATCTTTTTCTTTTCTTTCCTTCTAAAAATAGTTGAAGATAGAGATGTACCTGTTGGAATTATTGCTAGAAACGTAGCAATCAAATCTGCAGAAATGATGAAATGAAACTGCCATTAAATGGCAGCAATGAGGCTGAAAATTGACAGCAAATGAAACTGCAATTTTCAGCAAATGTGGCAGCAATTTAGCTGCAAATATGAGGGAAATGAAGCTGTCATATGACAGCAAAAATGTGCAGCAAGCTAAGCTGCAAATGTTAATGAAATGAGGCTGCCATGAACAGCAAAGTAAATACAAATGCAAATGCAAATGAAAGGCTGCAAAGAGGCTGCAGAGCTGCCAAGAGGCAGCAGAGCAGCAAAGAGGCTGCAAAGGACGCAAGCATGAAGCCGCAAAAGTGGCTGTTACTCATTTCAAAATTCAAATGTATATTTATTGTTTTTTAATGTAAAATAATTGTTTGAATTTTGAATTGTTTAAAAATTGTATTCTCCTATAAATAGGAGAGTTTGTTAATGAAAAAATTGAGTTGAAGTCATATATTTCTCTCCATTTTAGTTTATGCTCTGCTCTTCATCATCTACCCGATCTTCTCTCCATTTATGTCTTTCTTTGAAAAAAGAAAACCAACAGTACCCTTGTGTCACGCCCCAAAACCCGATTTCGAGGCGCGACAGACGCCGTGCACTCGTGAGACGGGTCCCACAAATGCACAAGGCTCGGAACTTATTCAAATCACCAAAATCTCAAGAATAAAATCAATTTTACTAAAGGATGATAAAATCTAAACTTATATCCAATTGAATGGCTAGCCTTCTAATTCGTCACTCCCCTCGATTTCCCCGTCCTCGGTTTCGCTTCCTGAAATGGTGGACAAGGAAAACTATGAGATAACTCAGTAAGTAAATATGGATAGCCCTTGGGTAAAACTTTTAAGCATGCCAAATAAACCATATAAGCATAACAAAGCTTTCAATGATAACTCGTTAAAACAAAATCAGATTCAGTTCAATAGCAAAACGTTCAGTGCCAAAACCGTTAATGCAAAATC